GGATAAGGAGCACCAGAAGTTCTGTTCTGGTATGCAGTGTTGGAGGGCCTAGTGTTTTGGACAACCCTAAAAGTAAGCCTCTCGAAAATTGGACTCGATCATGATCTGGGCGCCGAGATACCCGGAATTTTCACATCCTCATACTCGTGCCCCCCATTAGACACTATAAACCTTGAACTTTCAACTCACCTGCAAGTCATATTCCTAACCTGTGCATCTGTGAGCGTACTGTAGATGATGTGGCCGGCTCTTCCGACGGGACACAGCTGACAAGCCCGATGCGCCAGGAGGAAAACTTGCTTATTCATTGGACCCTGTACCATGCATATGAAGCTCTGATGCCCATATCCCGAGTCCCACGTGTAAGCACATCCAAAACTTAAACCTGCCCTTTTCACAACATCCATCGCCCTAAAGCGGCAAGCCGCACGATCTAGGATGGATTTAAGCTTGTACTGTGTCGCCCCTCCGTCCCTCTCTCTCTCTCTCTCTCTCTCTCTCTCTCTCTCTCTCTCTCTCTCTCTCTCTCTCTCTCTCTCTCTCTCTCCAGGCATGCAAGGCTACATAAACCCTCGGGGTTACCGGTACACTAGGAATCAGAGCTGGAGGCATCTCCAAGCCGCGCAGAAGGGAACATCGAGGCCGATTCCAGTTCTGCCCTTGCTTTCGCTTTTTTTGCTTCTTAGATTCTTGTTTTTTTACCGGACCCCCCAAGGGCCCTTCGGTAGATCCCTTATGGTCCTTAATGGTGGGTATTCTGGGTATCTGGGAGCGTAGTTCGGGGGTCCAGGGATAAGGCTTCCATACGGTTCTGCAGGTCTCAGCTTGGATTTCGTAGAAGCAGCTGAGTGCCATCTTTGCAGATGGAGAAACCTAAAGCTTAGCATCTTAGGGGTTCCTCGCTGCTTTTGTCTGCCTTGTCGCCTCCGCAAGCTCCAACAAAGATAGCACAGAATCCCGCTAAATTTCAATTCCGAGATCCTGCACTGCAAACCTGTAGCCCTGCACAGTTCAACCCGAACCGCACAAATCGTGAAGACAAAAGCCCTTGGCCGGAAAGCACTCGAAAGCCTTGATGGATCCCGTGGAGCCGTTTGTTCACCCCCTCCACGCATCACAATTAAAACCCGTTAGCATTTTAGCTACTTGAACCCCTAAACTCTATACTGTGTTGGATACAAAGCTCAACCCGACAGCTGAAACTGGAACGACCTTCATCTCCGCGTCAGACCCTGGGATGTTTCCTCGGCACGGCTTCCTGCTGCTCTGGGGAAAGAGGTCCATGAAGGGGAATATATCATTTAGTTGGGAAGCACGTGTGTGCATCACTAGCCACTAGCCTGTGTGTGTACATATGTTTATACATTTCCGACTCTGTCACACGCGAGAGAGACACAGAGAGAGAGAGAGAGAGACAGAGAGGGGGAGAGAGAGAGAGAGAGAGAGAGAGAGAGAGAGAGAGAGAGAGAGAGAGAGAGAGAGAGAGAGAGAGCGAGAGGAGAGAGAGAGAGAGAGAGAGCGAGAGGGAGAGGGAGAGGGAGAGGGAGAGGGGGAGGGAGATAGAAAGAGATAGAGAGAGAGAGAGAGAGAGCGAGATAGAAAAAGACACAGAGAGAGAGAGCCTAAACCCCTTAGCAAGCAAGCAAGAAAGAGAGAGAGAGAGAGAGCGAGATAGAAAGAGACAGAGAGAGAGAGCCTAAACCCCTTAGCAAGCAAGCAAGCAAGCAAGAAAGAGAGAGAGAGAGAGAGAATGCGAGGGTGCGAACGAGGGAGGGAGGAAGAGAGAGAGAGAGAGAGAAAGAGAGAGAGAATGTAGTGGGTGTGGTCTATGCGTTTGTGCGCACGTGCGTGTTCGTGCACAGGCGGTAGTTCGCACAATTTGGAACCTAGGTATTTTTCCAAGATTGCCACAGCATGCTGCCGTAGTGTAATTGCATTGATGCTCTTGGTTCCGCAGATGCTAAACGGCCTGACTAAGTTGGGTGTGAGGCAATGTAATTATTCGTTGGTTTCGAACCACGTTTCTGGGGAGGGAAGGCTTTCCACGAGTGTGTCGAGTCGGGATGCATGCTGTGCACCGGTGTGTAGTTGTTCCGGGATGTTCAGGGGTCAAGGTGTTGGTAGGAAGTAGAAGTGTAGAAGTCGCAGTTTCGCAGGCGCAGTTGAAGGTAGTTGGAACCCCGGCTGATGGTGTTTGAGCATATCTTGCTTTGAGTCCTAAATCTATCATGATGAGGCAGCCGTGCATTCATTTTCAACAGGGTGTGCTCAATCTTAGTTTATAGGTGTGTGCGCGTTTCATAACGTTTCTTGCGGGTTTATAGGCGCTCGCTTAGGTTCATGGGCGCTTGTTGGGGGTTTATGAATGTTTCGTGTCATACACTAGAGTTGTTAATAGGGCTCGGTTGTGACTCGTGTGTCAGATTGGCATCCAGGGATTTCACACCCCACCTAAACTCCGAGATGACTTCAGGCTTCAAGCCTTGTAGGGTGGTCACCAAATCTGCATTTACATAATGCAGACACGCACGCAGCTTAAGTTTGCTGCTTTCGCTTCAAAAGCTACCATACATGATAAACCATACAATAATAACTATATATATATATATAGATAGATATAGATATAGATATGAGCGTCCGTCAAAACTTCCGTACTTGTGGTTAAGAGTAGGGTGGTCGTGGAATGTCAGATTTGGCCAGAACCCTCGAAAAGCGATAGGACACCCGATCAACGAAGATCATCTGTTGTGACACTTCAGTGCCTGCCGCGGCATTTGTGCGTAAATGTCCGTGTGATATATGGCTAGGCAATCGATACCCTAATCGATACCCGTTTTATGAGCCATGCCCCAAAATAAAGTTCATTGTTTTTCCCTTTAGTACTCGTACTGCTACGATACTACGATTGTGAGCCTAACCGGAGTGAAGCAATACCCCACATAAACATCGACCAGATCCTCGTATATACAGCGATATAAGTTTTGACATCCGCCCATACACGCACATATGCATATAGATGGCCTTGTATGGTCAGATATGCCCTCTGAAGGGTCGAAGGCTTTGCGAATATTGAATATGCAGCCTCTCGAAGCAGTTGGCATGCAACTAGAAGTCGCAGTTGTCCCAGCCGATGTTCGACGGTTTAGGAGGTACCCTTTAAGTGGGAGCTTGATGCATTTAAGGATAGAGGCTCAATATCCAAACCTGCCCCGGAATCATTACACTCTTGCTGTCCGAGCGCATGTGCAAGATGATATGTTAGCCCACAGCGAAGGCTCATGCTGCGACCGTGCGGTTAAGAGTTGCAGCGGGCTCCCCAGCAACGGTGACAGCTGGTCCTGAAACTATTCCTTGTACTGTGGGGTGCAGGGAGTTCAAAGTGCTTTTTGGTTTTCTTTGGCCTTAGACCCCAAAATCCTTATCCCTGGTAACCCTATACCCTTAAATCCCGAAAACCTAAATCTTAATTCCTTGTGGCGAAGGATTGAGGCTTGAGAGTTGAATCAGTGCGGAGGTGTAGCATATTCTTTTGGGCGAAGAAAGTTTGCGGTTTCGGGTCGTTGGGCGTACCCCAGAACCCTCCTATAGGTCTCATGACCCTGTTTACAAAATCCCTTTAAAAGCCGCTGTTTCTAATTTTTAAGGTCTCTCTTTATTTCAGGATGTTTGATGCAGATAACCTCCAGTTCGGCTCTACTTGATAACATTACTTGTGCTGAGATCCTTTGTTAGAAGCCACGGTAACCAAGAGGGGAAACAGCATGGGGACTATAGGTAGGGTGAAGATGACTACAACTTGCGAGATTTTACTTGATCGAAGGACGTTGGGCATCCAGCGGATATTCTGGTCGGGGGAATTCGGTGCTCTGGATGTGACCCGAAGCAATCAACATAGAAGAGTCCGCTTTAATAGTTCAAAAAATATTTGTACAAATGTACATACAATACACATACAGCAAAACTAAGCAAATAGATATGTATATACAGTAGAAGCCAGAAAGTTGGAACATCAATATCCTCATGGCCTTAAAGGTAAAGTATAGAGGCCCAGCACGAATCATCCTAAATCCATGTTCCAACTTTCTGGGGTTCTTTGCATATATACACATATATACATACACGCATGTTGCTGATTATATACACAAATAATTACTCCCAAACCCTTATTGAAATCATCAAGGTGCCGATGTTGCCCTGAGTTTTGGAGATTTTAGGGCTTTCCCGGGCTGCCTGGACCCTGGAAACCCTACCTTTGTGGTATATGGCCTACAAACCAGCATTGAACAACACCTTTTTTGTGTCCTGGTAGGATTTAGTTCGGTATGGCGAACTTTGAGGCCAGAACTTGGCACTGGCACACCGTCGCAACATCTGGCGCAAGTCCGTCATTTGCAAAGACTGCCGCCGACGGATGCAAAAGTAGAAAGCGCAATGAATCCTGCAGAGGCCTCTCCATCGTCTCGGTGGACTTGTGACACAGAGTGGGAGCTTGCAGAGTGGGCAGGTGCTCGGGGCTACTGTCACAGCTGCCACCGAGAATCCTGCTTGCGCCTGCTTCATCCTTATAGTCGTCGCTGTACGTTCTTGCAGTGCACCGACTGCGCAGCATGTCGTCCTTGCCCAGAGTGTGGCCTGCCGCACCAGATCACAGATCCCGGTTCGCATCCAGAAGATGCGGCAAAGGACAGGTTGCACATCATCCTCTCCACAAGGGGCCCTGATGCAACAGCCAGCCAGAAGCTTCTGGTGCTCTTCGACTTGAGTGGTGTTCTTTGCTGGACCCCTCGAGACGGCAAGAAGTTGGACTCCCCACTGAGCTGCATCGAACGGCCCCCGGGACCGCGAGGTCACTCTTCCTGGCTATACCCTCGACCTGGTGTGGCAAAGTTGCTAACGTTCCTAGAGCGTCAAACTGATCATGCATTGCTGGAATGGGGCATCTATACGACCCGGAACTTTCAAAATGCCTTGATCGATATACGGCTCCTCCTTTCACACTGTCATCGCGCACTGGACGAAGACCAATACAAGAGGTTGAGTTGTCCGTCAAGGGGCGAGAAGTCCGATGATGTTGGCAGGGAGGGCCCATTCAGTTTCACAAGCTGAAGCACTTCTGTCGAGGTCGCGAGCGCTTCTTTTGGTGCTTCACTCAAGAAGATTGCGAAGCAGATGTTGGAAGCAGTTCCGTGTATAAGAATACACGCGACCGAAAACATGTCTTCAGCCCCGATGTGGCGGTCAAGGCCGGACGGAACCGCAACGCCGTTCTTTTCGTGGCCGGCAACGAAAGCAAGTTCAAACTTCTGAAACCTGAGCAGTGCTTTCTGGTGGAAGACTTCACGGACGATGCCGTCCGATCTCCCAATTTCAGTGACAATGCTTTCGCCGAGGTCCTCAACCAAATCAAGCAGCATGAAGTGTCCGTGTTCGCCAAGAAAAGCCAGAACGATGCAGAGTACTTCGACAGACGCAACGAGATCATCGGCGCATTCTTAGCGTCGCAGTGCGAGCCAATCATAGCACAAGCCGTCCTCCCCTACTTGGGCAAGTCAAAAGGCTACAAGCATTGAAGAACGGCCGTCGTTTCACTGATGTATTATAGTCACTGCAATTGGCTGCTTCGGGGCACTAGAGGGGGTCTCTGAAGTTTAGGATAAAGTTATTCAGGGATCCGTACAATACCTGAGCTTCTAAGGCTCCTACTGCTTCAGGTTTTATGCAATGGTCCCCGCTCCGCTTTTTTGATACTCCCACCTACGTTTGTGTGATGAGCCGGATGCGAAGTGTGGAGAAAGATCTGGCGTCTGCGTATGTCCCAGGCCGTGAACCATAAACCCTGGAGTTGCAATGAGGTTTTGCTTGTAGGACTGTGGGAGATACCTGGACCTTGCATGCTGCGCCTTTCGGCGATTGCTCTCCTTTTACAGACCAAAATCTCGAGACGTGGTCTCAGAACGTCGGATCGAACTCTTCATCAGGTAGGGTTTGTGCTGCGGGCTTCATGCTGTCGCTGTCTCACTTGTCCTTGGCTTCGGAAAGTGCTTTCCTTCCATCGAGGTTTCAGGGTTTGGGACTAAGCCCCGCCTGCTTCGAGCCAAATCGGATCCCATTCTTTGGCATGTTCGATCACTGATCCATATCCGAGCTGTTCCAGTGTGAGCTGTGGTTCTTAGTGTCCTGAGACCTGAAAGCCCTATAGCATATCCAAACCTAGGCAAACACACGCTAAACCCTGAGCTCCTCAACCTTGATTTAAGCATCCTGAGTCTCAACACCTAAATCCGTTGCTGCTTTCCGTTGGCAAACATGCGGCTGCACCGTGTCCCTGGCACTCCTTCCCGATCATGTCTCGCCCAAACCTTGATCCGGCATCCTCCCTATGAGCCCTGAGCCCGAAGCTTAAAGGCCCTTCCGCACTCAAGCCCCAAGAGTCGAAACCATGCGCCCGAAATCTGAAGACCTTCAAGCCTCTACCATAGCAACGACAAGCTAAGACCCAGGGAACCGAAAAGCTGCAGAATACCTATTTGTCGAAGCCTTCTTTTCATTTTGAACCCTGACAGGCCCGGTTGAAGCCCTGGCTTCATTCCCAGGATCGCGGGACCTGTTGCAGAAGACCCTCATCAGGGCCATTGTGGGAACCCTTATCCGGAGCCCATCTAAACCTTGAACTGTAGGAAATACTTGCGCTCCAAAGCCGAAATCGAAGCTTCAAACAAAAACCCGAGGCCAACCGCAGGCGCCAATCCTCCTCGTCGCCGACTGGCCTGCAGCGCTGGGGTGGCCCGGCTCGGGCATCCCTCGGGTTTTGACTTGGTGCTCAACAGATAGGGTTTACGGCTTATGCAGAGTTTTTGAGTCCAGTAGCAAAGAGGGTTAGCAAGTAGGGTTTGTAAGTGTTTTACTTCAGCTCATCTGAGTTAGATTCGCATGTCTTGGGTGCCTTGGGGCTTTAGCTTCCAGGCCTTAGAACTTCGTAATTTAGCCTTTTTTTCTCGAAGGGTCGGGGGCAAGAAAGCTCAGAGTGCGGTTCATGGCTTAGGGTTGCAAGGGTTGTAGGGTCTATGGCTTGGCGTCTTGGGGTTTTGAGATTGGAGTGTAGATTAGATCTTGGGCCGTAGTTGAGGTTTACGGCAGCTTCAGGTTGAATGTATTGGAAGCCAGGGTTCTTGGTAAAGCAATTCCACAGGGTTCCTTATGTTCGAATGTTCGAATTATCGTTAATCTACCCCAAAGCCCTATTCCCAATATTAAGGTGCCAATCTTCTGGGTTCTGGGCTACGAGTGCAGAGTGCAGTTTAGAGTTTGCTTGGGGCATCGGCAGGTGGAGAGCAAACGGGGCTCACATGATTTAGCGCCCTCTGAAGAGCCGAAGGGACCATGTAATCAGGGTTCAGATTTTACGGTTTTGAGGTTTAGAGCTTGTGAATACGGCAACAAATCTTTCGCCTTTCCTGGGCTGAAGACCGTTTCTGCACGACCGAGGAATATTCTCCAGGCGCTGCACGACTCCGTGATCCTGGCAAAGGCAACCGCGGTCTGAGTTACGGTTCATGGTGTAGTTACTGGGAGGATTTAGGGTAGTCTCCCAAAGTCTCCCCAGAGCAACTCCAAAAACGACATTTGCCAAAATTAAATGCCTAGGGAGCCTTGCACGCACGCTTACCGAGGCTTGAATGTGATGCATACCTCACATGCATGAGCTAGAGCCAGCATTGACTTTCGAGTTCCGGGCACCGGAGCGTTGTTTCTTTTGAGGCTTAATCATATAACGAGTTTGGGCCCACATATTTACCGATGATGGTTACCCGGGTAGCACGATTTGAGAACCCTAAACCCTAAACCCTGAAATCCTAAACCCTATACCCTCTGACCGGCCGACAAGGCATTAAATCGCGCGCTGCTGATGCCGCCGGTACAGGGGCCAAGGCATCGGTTTGAGGGCTTAGGGAAAAGTTTAGGGGTTACGGTTGATATATTAAACCCTAAACCCTATCTCTATAATCTATACCCTAATATCATATTCCGTTTTTGGGTTAAGCTCTGGGAGCCCCTTAAAGCACTATGAACTTGCAATCCTAAGGTCCTAAATAAGGGCCCCCAGTAGTATCAAGCCAAAAGACGTGTTTTAGCTAAACCAGTTGTCGGACAGTATAGATTTGTTTATGCAGCTTGGAGGGGTTGGGGGGCGTGGGGGGTGGGGAGTTGTGAAGATGTAACTAAGGTTTGCTAAGGGCATTAAGGTTTGTTAAGGGCATTGAAGACTTTGGGGTTGACGGCCGGTAGCTAGGGATGGAAGGCCCAACAAGGACTCACTAGACCCCTTGGGAGCCCCTGCGTGGTCTCTACGTTTCTGGTCCCTTTGGACTTGTGCTGCAATTTACCTCGAAACCCTATTCCGATGGTCAATGCCTCAGATATTACGTTCACTGGAGCCTGCACAGATTTTCGTTTGTAGAAAGCTTTAAGTAAGTGAAGCTGCTCTCAATATTTGAGTTCGCTGCCTGCTATGACATGACTCTCCTGCACGATTTCAACTTTTTGCCGATAATTACTAAACCAACCTCGTTTGTGGCATAGTTCTCAGCCATCCGAGAGGGGAGAAGAAACCTTCAATCCTGGGCCAAGAACCCTTAGCCCGTATAGAACCCGTGCAGACTGTTTCAGACACGGTGACCTTGCAATGCGAGGTTCCCCTCTCAGAGATTCGAAAATGCCTCAATTCAGGGGTTTTCTACGTTCTTTAGAGGAATGTGTGCAGTTTCACTTGGTTCCGTGAGGGCTGTAGAAGAATGTGCTGGAAACTGCAGGTGGGTCCAGAAGATGATTCATAGTGTCCTGGCCTTTCAGACACCTGCCCTCACAATATGTAGTCACATTCCTGCAAAGTCCCTTTCGAATCAGAGTATGAAGACTGAATCCCAAGACCCTGCAGAAATTCTTGGGGCCCCTATAACCCGCTACACCTGTCGAGCGGTTGCGTCCAGGCCTTCCATTGACTTTCACCACCTTGCCGAGGATGGGAGCGTTGGGTTTTCGTGAGAAGCCGGGGGTTGAGGTTTGTGGGGGTTTGGATTTTTTTAGTTTAGGGTTTGAGGATGATTGGGTGCCGGCATACACACTCCAAGCACGTGCTTAAAAACGGATTAGAGGATGCAAGAAGCTGAGGCCTAGAGACCACGTTTTCTTGATTCTGCTCACTGAAGGCTCGAGCCAGTGGAACAGGTGCTTAGCCCGCTACGTGTCATGAGTTGTTCGATGAAGCTTCAGAGAACCAGAAGCTTATCCGGTAGGGGTGGGAGGCTTAGGCAGGTCCTTGAGGATGTATTTTGAGTTTCGACTTTGATAGTGTTTGGCAGGGTTTTGGGTTCGGGGTTTGTATTGCTTTAGACTTCCGTGCTTATGCGTCAGGGCTTGGACGTCGAAAGACGTTACATACGAGCGTCTTTACCAATGCAATCGTCTCTGTCTCCATAAATCTTACACCCGTATAAAAGCACCTACAGTGACCCTTGTGGGGACCGTTAAGCCTGCAAAGGGTTTACGTGTTTTTGCATACAAAACTGATGTCCGCATAGGTACGTAGATATGTAAACTAAAGCAAGCAGCTCGGTCGGTGGGCCGGCAGCTACGTGGGTACGCAGGGAGGTCGGTCGAAAGGTCGGCAGGTCAGGTAGGTACGCCGGAATGTTTACATAAACTGATGATGACTACTGATGCAAAGCTTGGCAGCTCACAAAACCACAAGAGCGTAGAAGCCTGGATATGTACCAACATTATTCCTTCTAGGGTTCGTTATTGCATTCGTAAGATACACGCCAAATCCGATTCTGCTCAGGAAGGTGGCTATATTGTTCTACCTGCAATCTGCTGCTTGAGGTTCCGGGCTTCGGAATTAGGCCGGTGGACAGCACGTTCTTGGTCCTTGCCAAACCGCCCCTCTATGCCATAGGCTCTATACAGGATGCTTTAACCCGAGGCACCGAACAGAACATTCCATGTTTCTGCTAACCCTCGAACCTTCGGTCTAAGTTAAAACACTCGCAGCATGAGCTCCGGAGCTGGAGGCGTTCGGCATTGACATTCTTTTCGTTCAGGCAGGGCTTGGGTTGCTGAGTGAGCATGCAAAGCAAGGGGCTTGATTTTCTTGAGGACCAAACCCGGTCCTCTATTCTAATACTATGAACCCCTTTCTGGGATATGAGCCATAGACTCATTTAGGAGTCTTCTTGCTGATGGGGGTTGTTGGCTTCTGGTTTTGTAAATTCTTATTCACTGAACCCGTGTCATGTGCCGTGTCATGTGTTTTACAATGACAAGGGTTCCAGCCAGGTGTCGCAGGTGGTGCAAGCTGCCCTCCATTCGCACATAAAATTAAGGATTTCGAACTAGCAGAAAAGCTATGATATTGGTC